AGGTTTGCCTAATATAGTGTTTGTAGTTGGAGATGTATTGTCATTGTCTGAGTCTTCAGGAGAATGGTTTTTGGAAGATTTGAATTTGGGTGTAGAGGTGTTTATAAAAATAGATGGAATAGTAACTTTTTTGGATATTGTAAAGAATGTGCTTGGAAAGGGGGTCTTAGCAGGATTTGATGGGTTGGGAGCTAAGACTTTTTGAGTTCCTTCTATAGAGTCGCTCACTGTATGCCCGGCTTTCACGGCTGTGCAAGAGACCAGAGTCTGCTTTGTACGTTGAGTCTGACCATCATTAATTGGTTCTTTCACATACAAATTATTTTTTATTTGTTTGAATTTCATATTACACTTGCTTAGCAGATTCTGTAAAATAGTTTATATTTTAAATTCAAAAAAAAAATCCAAACTTTAAATATACAAACCAACTATTTAGATTTATATAGGAACCTTGGACTATATGGATATATTTGCACCAAATCTGAACAAATTCAAACTTAAAAAAGCTAAGAGCTAATTTAGCTAACTACAAATAAATAATTTATTTTTTGAAAATCTTCAGCTAAATTAACTCTCTTAGCTCTTTTTGTGTATCTCAAAATAACATTTCCAGGTATTTACTAGTCGAAATAAAGTATATCGGACAAGTATCATAGCATTTTAGTTCTGATATAGCACTAATTATGGCCTGAATTATGATATTTCTAGGTTCATATAGAACTGATAAAGCGATCAGTAAAATTATGAAAGTTATCAGGTTTCTGATATTTAACTAATAGTTTTATTAGTTCTGATGTGAACCTGGAAATAACATGACTCGAGCCATTGATTAGTATTATATTGTGACTAAAAAAAATTATGATCTTTGCCTAATAGGCTTATTTTGACTAGTAACTATTTCAAGATTATATATAATTAATAAAATAAAATCTTAATTTATCAATTAGCCGCTTTATCATAGTTTTGCTGCTAAGATTTTTCTTAAACCTAAACTATCCCTAACTTCAAAACACAGATTATAGAAATAGTACATGAAACTAAAGGCATTGCCTTCCAAAATTGCAATCATAATCGAAACTAATTTGAAAAAAATTCTGCAAAAATACCATATAATCGCTTAGGGTAGGCACATTTATCACCTGATTTTTTAGGGGGGGAGGGGGTCAAAAAAATTGAAATTTTATATATAACATTTGATTAATCATATATTAAGAGCTAGGGGGGGTAAGCCTCTGATAAAAAAAAATCAGATGATAAATGTGCCTACCCTTATCCTATTGTCTTGTGCAGATAGTAAAATTTTAAATAAATATAGTTGCAAAGTATCTTTAAAAAATGCTTTGATTTCATGAATATATCTTGTTATCCAATTTAAATTGCACTTTGATGAGTTCTCTCAACCACTATAACTATCCTTTTCTGCTATCATATATGTTTTATCAAAATTAAAATTTTTATTAAAAAATCGACCTTCTAATATAATATATCGCATTAAAAAAAAAAAGAAAAAAAACTTTAAAGAGTTAGTTTATAAAGTGTAGATGGGAGATAATAATGTACTTACGGCATTCACTTTAGTATAATTTCTTTTGTTACCTTATGACAAATCTCTTAAAGATAATAAAGCAGTTATAATAATCCATGATGCAAAGCTTCTTATCAACGCCTAAATTTAATAAAACTTTCATTTATAAAGAGCCAAAAAACCTATATCATAAGTTTTGTAATGCATATGTATATTATAAACAAGTAACTTTTTGAAACCCAAATCCAAATCATCAACAATTAATGCAAGAATATAATCTAATATAGAACCAAATCAAGCAGGAAAATAAAACTTTAATCGATGAAAAGATTCAGAACTATTTTAATGCTATTCTTTCTCATACCTATTCTCATTATTCAAAATTAGCACAATACAATATGAATAATTCAAATTATATTAATACTTTACCTTTAATATCTTTACAATCAAATGATGAAGAATTATCTAAAAATGCTATATGTTAGCATGATTCAGTTGAAAAAATAAATGCAGCTAATAAAAAATTAAAAGCATTTGAACAAATGTATAGCATTTTTACAGATAAATCATTTAAAGAAATATTAGTATCAAGCATAATTAATAAAAAAAAAATAATTACTGAGCAAACAAAGAGGTTAAAAAAACTCAAATGCCATGCTAAAGCACAAGCAAGACTTACAGAAAAAAAGTGAAGTTGTTTAAAAAGATATAGTAGAGAAATATAATAGGCCTGGAAGGCCATTAGTAGCAATAATTTATCCTGATTTTTGGGATAAAATTTATGATTGTGTTGAGTTTGGAAGTGTGCACTCAAAAAGAAGAAAAGTTGTAATCAAAGTACATACTATAAAACATCTCCGACAAGCTTTAGAAGAGAAGTATAATATTTACTTATTTCATCAATATATATCCACATATCTTGAGCTCTGCTATCCACATATATTTGCGGCATATCGACATCACCACCTAGCTAAGGTCACTCTTGTCTCTGTATTATGAACAGAAATAAAACCTCATGTTGACGAACACTATTGTTTAGTATCTGTTAAGGCTGCCTGAACTTTTGCTAAAGTATTTGCTTATGACATAGCTATCATTTCTCAGGATGATAAAGTGAAAGTTGGTTTAGGTGTTCTTGCAGTTGGGTATATGTTTAAGATATTACAAACTATTAATGAGCTTGTTTTAGTTGCCGATTACATTTTCCAGTTGGTAGTAAAATGAAACTCATACCCTCCGTTTATCTCATTATTGATCCAGCCTACTCAAATGATAGTCTTAGATTGGGACAACTTTCAATCTTTGTTAGGCCTGAGTATTTTGTTGACACATTGTTTTTAACTTACATGTCAAATCTTCAAAGTATTATCTCTGACTAACAGTTTGCTGAAGCTCTAATAAAAGAGAATAAAATCAAACTCATACTTGTTTTTTTCATTGATGAAGGACCTGATGAAAACCTAAAACATATGAAAAATATAATTTAATATTGCAATTTTTTTTGTAAATTTGATCTTGATTACTTAACTATTTGTATACATGCCTCTGAGCAGAGTGCATACAACCCTGTTGAATTTAGTATGGCTTCTCTATCTGAAAAGCTTGCAAGTATCACATTACCTGTTGATAAATTTGGTTCATATTTAGATAGCCAAGGAAATGTATTAAATGAATATTTAGCACATAGAAATTTTGAATTTGCAGAAAATAACCCATGTGATATATAGAGAAGAGATAAAATACATAGCAAGCCTGTTCTAGTAGAGTATGTAGACCAAATAAGGCAGCCATTTGCAAAATTAGAATCTTCAACATCATGGAAATGGATAGAGAATCATACACAAATATGATGTTATTTATTAGATATAAAAAAGTGCAAAAGCTTTTGATGTTGTAGCGAATATAAAACACCTGATATTGCACTTCTTTTGGATTAGAATGATGAATTTCTTTCTCCTGTTATGAAAGCAAAAGATTAACATTATGTTAATTCTATACATGCTCTGCAATACCATGATAAGCTTAAAATTTTATCATATAACTGCTGTTGTCCATTTATTCCACATAAGCTTCATCAAAAACTATGCTGTAATATATGTGATAAGTATTTTTCCACCTTCAAGTACATTACAAATCACAAACAAAATAGACAATTTTCAAATTATGGATATCCACTTTGATATTTGGTTGTTTTTAATGATACTGAAGACCTATTATAATCAAACCCACAAGTAGTTATAAAATGGTGAGAAATACAATCAGACGTTTTTTTATTTTTTTTTTATTAATATAATGCCATAGTAAAAACTTTATTACAAAAAAATCTAAATTAATCTAAGGATTAATATTCTTCCTTTTTCCAAACTAGATTTGTATAAGGGATTAAATAAATCATTTGATCAGACTAATAAGTCTCTTCAACCCGGCAATAGCTAAGTTAAGAAAGATATAGTTTAAAAAAGAATTTCTATTATTAAAGATTTCTAACTATATTTGTGCTACTGAGCACCCAATGTGACATTACATTTCCTATTTCCTATTTTATTGCTATTACTAAATTAAGTAAATAAAATAGTTCTAGCTAGGATAAATTGAAGAAAAACCTAGGGTGATAATCATGACATTATAAAAAGCATGTTAGTAGAGAAAAACCTTATAGATACTATTTTTCAATAGCATCATGTATGTTTATTTGTTGAGAGTGAGGTGTATATATGTTGGTTTTATTGTTGATAAGTGGTAGAGTCAGTTTAGAGCATTTAGTTATTGGTATAATATTATGAGCTATTTCCTATTGATGTTGAAAAAGGTTTTGTTTAGATTATATTTTTTGATGAAACCAGTTTAAAAGGTTCTTGGAGAAGTTGATAAGGAATAATTCAGTTTGTCTGTTAAGCAGAGTTTTAGTACTAAGATATATTGGTTTGGAGTATGCTCCAAGAATTGCAGAAAGAAGGAAGTTTAATTGTATATTAGAAGAGTTTATTGTAAAGAGTGAGAAGGAGTTAAGAAGTAAAATAGCAGAGATATTTATTTGAAGTTAATAGAGTATATTATTGGTTATATTGATGAGTGATTGTTGAATATTTTTAGTATTTTTGGGGCATAAAAGTATGTGAAGAGTATCTTTGGTTGAAGAGTATTTGCAGTATTGATTAGTTGTATATAGATTTGGATAGCAGATATTAAGATTTTGCATTGTTGGAAGGTTGTTTGTCAGAATTTTGATATAAAAAGAGTATTTGATGAAATTATAAATTAAGTATTTTAAAGGTTATACTCTAGTTTATATTTGGTGTATAGTTATCAAAGAATTTGAAGGATGACCATAAGATAAGTTCTTGAATAGTAATAGTATTTTTGATAAAAGAGCATATTTTGAAGGTTATAATATGATTGTTTCAAGAAAAGTAAGTAGGTAGATTGAAGTATATATAGGAGATTTCAAGAATAGGTTTGTTTGAGCCTTGTTTGGCTAATAAATCAGCCTAGTTGTGAATAGAGCTATATGAATGTGATTTTATTTTAATAGGGATAATAGAAATATTTTTAGTTAGTCTAATAAAATTTATAATTATAATTATATCCCAGTTTTTGTTTTGAATAAGTTTGGTAGAAGAGAGATTAAGCAGGTTATTAATTGCTAATATATTATTAATAAAGATAGTAATTTTAGTATTAATTGGTAAAACAAGAAGAAGAGAAATAACTGCAAATGATTTGGAATGAGAGGAGTCTGGAGAGGGATGAATTGCTATATTGAATTTAATAGACAGATCATTTTCACAAATCTAACCAATGCTAAATTGTATGTTTGAGGTTTGGAGATTTTTAATAGAGGCATCAGTATAGAATAAGAAATTGGTTGTATTTAAGGCTATAATTTTGTTATATATTTGAATTAACTGGTTTTGGTAAGAAGGATTTTTAATTGTATAGTATATTAATTGTATTTCATAAAAGAAGATATGAATATGAGGTTGTTGAAGAGAAGAAGTTGGAGGTAAGTTTGAATCAGGAGTAATATTCAGTATAGCAGTTAATTCTTTGTAATCTATTTGTAAAAGAGTTTGTTAAACTTGGCTCATTTATACGGAAGATTTATAGGTTGAAAATTAGATAAGAAATTTGAAGTTTCTGTTAAATATGTTTGTCCAGTAGGTGTTTTATTAGTTTGGTTTATTTTATAAGAGAGTGTGTATTGGGGATTAGAATATTGAAGAAAGATTTTGTCTTGGTCAATAGAAAAGAGTTAGAAGTGAAATTTTGTATTTGAGGAGGGTATAAAATTAGTTGTATTAATAAAACAGTTTGTTGGGAATAGTTCAAGATATGGCTGTATAGATTGAAAAGAGTTGTTTTGTATTATTTGTAAAAGCTAAATAAACCATGCTAGTTGATGGCCTCTAGTTGCTTTGTTTGTACAAAGATAAATATTGTTCCAGGTAAGGAGAAATTTGTTATTTGCAGTTGTAATTTGTTCGATGAATAAGATTTTGTTGTTTTTGAAGCTATTTATTGTAAGGTTATTAGAAGTTTTGGGGAGTAAGTTATAAATTAGATATAAATGTTCTGGTATATAAGAAGAAAAGATTGCAGTTTGAGAAGGAGGAGAAATTGTTATATTGTTTTTAGCTAGTTGTGTGAGATGAAAAAGGAGAGTGTAATTATATATTTTTCTATGATGTAGAAGAAGTGTTTCTTTAGTAAGGCTAGGACACTATATTTTAAAAAGCCAGGATTTAATATGAGAGATGCCAATTTCATAGAGAAGTGTAGAAGTATTAAAAATACATTTAATATTAAAAGCACTGACTTTTTGAATCATATTGTTAAAAGTTGGTAAATTAAAAGTAAGGGGGTTTGTTAGTGAAGTATTATTGGTATTTTTAGCTAGTAAGAGCATTTTTTTTGTTTGTATAAAAAGTAAGCAAAAGAGTTTAATTTGCATGTTTTTTTTAATAGATATAATTTGTAATAAGTATTCAAGTAATAGTTGAAGAATAAGGTTAAATAAAGAGGAGATTTGAAATGGTAAAAGTTTTTTAAATCTGATAAGTAGTAAGAAGTTTTCTATTTTACTGTGAATTTTTTCAAGTGTTGATTTAGCAGAGCCTCTGCTATTATAGTAGATGCCAAAATATCTAATTATATCTGTAGGTTTTCTGAGATTGATTATTTGATTGTTGAAAGAAAATGTATAGTTTTTTGTTTTAGAGTTTTTAGAAGGAATATAGAGTAGTCAGATTTTGATGGATTAACTTCAATATTGTTGATTTTGTAGAAGGATAAGACATCATTTATAATTTTTTGTAAAGTTTTAGGGTGTTCAGAATGCTAGACGGTATCATCCATATAGGCTAGTAGTGGAATAATTATAGAGGTTGGGTTTGAGTTAGAAATTACATTGAGTAGTGAAATAGAAAAGATTTTGAAAAGCTAGTCTTTGTATTTTTGTGAGATAAAAGTAAGAATTGGGTCATAG